AATTACAAATCCATATGTCTTCTCTCCTATGCTAGCTATACTAACTAGTCCAAATTGGTCCATATGAAGTATTTCTAGAGGCCTAGAGGTATTGATGTCCTTAATTGAATAAAATAAAGACTTAACTTATTTTCTTAGTTGACAAGCATCATATAGGTGGTCCTTAGTAATGTCTAACTTAGGTTTGCCTCTAATTAGATCTTTTTGGGTGATATTCCTAAGAGTTTTAATGTTTATATAATATAGTTACCTATATCATAGTTAGAAATCATCAATAATAGTTTTCAAACATAGGGGATTATAATATTCTATGTAGTTCAAATCAAGCATGTAAACATTATTTATTTTATTTCCTTCTAAAATTAGGTTTCCATTTAAGCTAATTATGCATTTTGCATAAAGAAACTTTATCAAATCCCTTTGACATAATTGGCTAATGTTAAGTATATTACGCTTAAGGCCATCAACTAATAAATCATTTCAATAATAAACTTATTAGAATTTCCAATTATATATGAGCTAATAACTTTTCTAATGGTATTACCTCCTAACTTAGCCTCCAGTATGATGAACTACTTTAAATCACCCTTCATGTGCCTCAAGTATCCACCATCCATGTACCACATACTCTCACTAGGTCTTTTGTGAGAACACCCCTACAAATTTATTTAAATGTTAAATTTAGGAACCCACTTAACGTGGATTCCGCCTTATGCATTGATGAATAAGATGTTTACATGTTATGCTGTGATGTACGTAATTTTGTCCTCCACACTAGATATGTCCTAAGTGCGGGCTATGTGACCTACCATGCGCAAGAGTAACACCTAACACCAGGAAAAGTGTTCATTAATCTATATGGGTTATGGTGCCTCTTCCTAGAGTTATAAGATGCATGTTGTGTTGATAAATTTTGTCATTATGCTAGAGTAGGTGATGGTTTATGATTTTAAAGTTCATTTATTTTTTCTTGTAGGAATTTATTTACACTTTCTATAATAGTCATTTCTATTTTCATTGTAAACTTACTATCATCTATCTCTATTGCACAACCTCTAATTCATTGAATGAATTTTCTAATTCAACATGATTTATTTTCATGGAATCATGTGCATTAGATAATTTAATATGCTTCTTATTTAATGCATCAAACTCATTAGGTAAAGTCATGTTTTTGCTATCCAAGCTAGAATGTTCATTTATCAAACAAGTATGCTCTTTTTGCAAGGTAGTAAAATTATTATTCAGATTAGCATACATCTTTTTCAGTTTTCTATACGAATCATAAATTTTCTCTAAAATAATAAACTATTAATCATAGGAGAGCTGACATACTTCTTATTGATTTGATTAAACAAGATTATCATTAGCCATAAGACACAGTTTTGTTACCTCCTCCTCTGCTTCTAGTTCCGATGATTTTGACTTGGAGTCGACCCTAAATACCTTATGTCTCCTATTCTTCCCTTTCCTGACTTTAGCCTTTTCTTGACCATTCTCCTTGACTAGGTGAGTTTTCAAGTTGGGTCAGTCTATTCGGAGATGTCCTGGTTTCCTGCATTCAAAATATATATATTATGTCAGATGACGCATTGAAATTTCCTTTGCTTTTACCATTGCTCCACTATTATTGATGGCACATTTGCTTCCTCTTTAAAAAGTTTTTGAACTATAAGGTCATCAACATAATGTCATCCTCCTCCTCTGCTAAAGAACTATCATTATCCAAAATTTTCACTTTCAAAGGCATAATCTTCTCCTTCTTCTTATCACCTGCATCATTTAGTATTTGACTCACATCTTATTCATAGGCAATGAGTGACCCAAGAAAATTATCAATAGAATAAACATTCAAATCTTTTGATTCATTCATTGCAAAATTTTAGCATCATATATACTAGGTAGGCAACATAGGATTTTATGAACTTTTTCAAAATTAGATAGTTCTTTACTCAATGCATGTAGGGATGCCACTATCTATATGAACATAATGTATATTTTTGATGTTGACTCACTAGGTTTCATGCAAAAAAGTTAATAATCATGTAACAACATGTTTAACCTAGAATATTTTACTTCACTAATTCCTTCATATGTAATGCACAGTCTATTCTAGATTTTCTTCCCTGTAGTACAGGTAGATACTCACATATAGTCCTTAGATTTTAAAGCACAAAAAAAGAAATTCAAATACTTAGCATTTAAATGAGCAAATTCTTTATCCTCTTGACTCTATTGAGTATACAGAAGAGAATAACCACTTTGTATCACATACCACATCTTAAAATCAATTGAGGTAAAAATGTAGACATGCAAATTTTTCAGAAATTGAAAGGAATGTTTTCAAATAGTGGTGGACTGGTTATTGAATAACTCTCAACAATATTTTAGTTACCCAATTACACCATTAGATATTTTCTTGATGTTTTTAAAATCAAAATATCAATACCCTCTCTAATACCACTTGAAAGTCCAAGGAGGTTGTGAGACCTCAATGAATTAGCCCGAGGCACACCAAGAGGGGGTGAATTGGTAATTTAAAAATTAATCAATAAAAATATTTATGCAATAATTTTTTTAAAAAATGATTTTGAAACTAATCCAAAAAATTACTCAAAATTATGTAGAAGCATTTGAGAAATAAATTTTTTTTTTAATATATACAAATAATTCTTTTTGCAAGCCACAATTTTTTCTTAATACCGTTGATTCTAACTATTAAAATTTGTATAGTAAATTCAACTTAGAGATAATAGAAAATTAATTTAAAGAAAACTAAATACAAAAGGAAAAAAGTGCACCATAAATTTTTATAGTGGCTTGGTCAATCTTAACCTACTCCACTCTGGATATTGCACTAGTACTAAGTGACACTTCTTTTTTTCCTACTATAAGGTGGAGAAGTCCTTACAAAATTCCTTCTAACAATCCCTGGTGTAGCAAAGTATTAGATGCTATGTCACCCTCCTGGTGATGGAAGCAAATCCCAGCACATTTTTCTCCCTCATATAGAAGGCAAAGAACCTCAGGTTCTTTTTCTCCCTCTTGGATAAGGTAGAGAACCTAGAGGACATAACTTAGAAACCTCTCTCCCAAAAGAAACTTCAAGGACTCACTAGGCCACTGGAGGAATCAAAGTTCAAGCTAACCTGGAGCAACCGAGTGAACCCCTCACACTTCTTCTCCCTTACGATCAACTTAACCTTCTTCTTCCTCTCTCACCCAAGAGCTCTGAAGAAGTATTATCTCTTAGAGTTCCTTTAATAGCCAACAACTCGTCTCCTTGTTAAAGAGATTATTAAAAGATTGCTTAAATATTAGTCTTCAAAAAATTCTAAAAATTCAAGTTGGCCATCTCTATTCGTACAATACTATATGTACTCATACAGTATGATTAGTTCAAGAACTTGACCCGGCTAGTATGATACAAACAATTATTTATATGAACTATTCAAAATTTGCAAACATATCATATCATACGATTATGAGGTTGTCCAATACGATCTATTTAATTTCTCTTTATTCAACTCTACCAATCATCCCATACTATTCTCATCGTACAATGCGGTCAATTTATTTTCCAATATGTCATTTAGTTTGATGTAAATATCATGTAGTATGATTAGTTCAGAAATCACAATTTCATTTGGTACGATTTTTGATACTACCAAATTTTGTCTCTATCAATTGTACAATACAATCAAGATCGTGTAGTACGATATGCTATTATTAATTAAACCATGATTTGATTTACTAATTATGGAGGATAATTTAAGCAAGATTTCAAAATATCGTACAATACGATTAGTTCAAAAATCATTTTTTAAATTTCTTATTTAATTAATCTAGTAGCTAGGGTTTATAGATCAAAATAAATCATACAGTACGATAAGAATCATAAAATACAATCAGTACATGAAAATTAAGGATTCAATTAGCTGTTAAATCATTTTCTGAATAAATGATTGTACGATATGATTAGTTAAAAAAGATTTATCTTAAAATTTTCTCACTACCCCTGTGTGTGTGCGTGCATGATCATCAATTGCAAACACTCCTATGTGGCTAGACTCAAGAAATAGAAAATTATTAGAAAGTTAAAATTACAGACTTTAACTTGACATCATATTCTACCCAAGCTTGAGACTTCGATAATCTTGAGCAGTGTATGATTTCCTTGAAATATTAGTGCACACAAACAAAAAATAATATTCAGTATTCATGCTAGATAAATAAGAAAATTTAATCAATAATATTTTTTATCATCAAAATCACAAGCTAGGGATCATGAATTGCAACATCGGGCTATTGTGTGATATAAGAGCACCCCTTAAACTTAAGAAAAATTATATAGCATGGTGGTGTGGCTTGCAATGCTTTGTGGTGTAGAGTGTTGGCAATTGAAGCGAAGCATAAAATTAAGTTAAAGTGTTATAGAGTTGAGAATGCTCAGGTGGATGAGTGACTTTACTCTTAGAGACAGAATGCAAATGTTGAGATTTAGGCTTTGTTTGAAACAACTTTCTCACTATTTTGTGAAGTTGTTGTGGATAAAGTGATTTTTAAAATTGCTATAGAAAATAGTTCATAGTATAAAATTGTTTTGAAAGCATCGAAAAAAAATAATACAACAACAACAATAGTGACTAAATAAAATTATTGTTGTGATTTGAAAAATATAACAGTAAGAAAACTATTCCAACGAAACCTTAATCTTTGAAGAAATTGATAAAAATAAAAAATGTAGGTTTTTGATGAATAGAAGTATAGGAGTATTTGTTTTATAAATAATTAAAAATTTAATCTTAGGTATGAAATTTCTTAAAAAATAATGTTTTGTATTTTATAATGTACACTTCTTACATACATAAATCAAAATTATGTGCATAATTTGAATGTAGCTCAAATCCCAACTCAAATAAACAATAACTACATACCAATGCACACATTATGTATAATTATAACGTGCCCGTCCGGAATGCGTCCGATTATTGGCAAGAGCGCCACAGGGGGCTGATGCGGCAAACAATTTGAGTAGCATCTCGCTTGCGTACGGATAAATAATTTTCCAGTAAGCGCCGTTATAAGCCAATACCCTAGCCTATCCCTCGGCCCTGGTTCGCCGCATTCGATCGGAGCTTGACGTTGTTCAATAGCCATGGTGAATTTTTGATTTCTCTCTCTTTATGTGGGCAATTTTTGAAAGCATTTCGCTCTTGATACTGTCCATGGTTTTGATATACGTGATTTGTTCTTGCAGGCGGATACCTCGGACGCGGTGGATGTGGGCGGAGCCCAGCCGAAGAAGAGAACGTTTAGGAAATTCTCCTACAGAGGGGTCGATCTAGACCAGCTCCTTGACATGGGCACCGACGAGCTCGTCAAGCTTTTCCCTGCCCGCGCTCGGAGAAGGTTGTCCTCTGTTATTGGTTTCCGCTTATTGATTGCTGCTTTGGTTTCTTGGTTTAGGAATTAATGAATGTGATGCCATTTCTTTGATTTCTAATGCAGGTTTCAGCGTGGTCTTAAGAGGAAGCCCATGGCTCTAATCAAGAAGCTTCGCAAAGCAGTAGGCTATTTTCTACATTTCTTACATCCTGATGCGATCTGTTTGATCCTTGGTTCCTTTACTCTTATTTGTCGGGAAAATTTTTAAAATTAAACTTATTTAATAATTTAATTAGAGGAAATAGGTGGGAAAATTTCAAGTCTTCCCAAAAAGATCAATTCACCCTCCATTGGGGACTTGCCTGCCGGAAGTTGCCCGCAAGGTGGCGACTTTGTGTAGAAAAGCAGGTGTAGAAATGCAGGCCTAAGCTAATGCAAACAGACAGAAGATACAGAGTAGAAGGGAGTAGCTTTCCATTTCAGTGAAATAACACTTGTACAAACGTTTACTGTAGCAGCTGCTTACATATATAGAGGTAAGTGTAGGACACGTGTAAGGCTAGGATTAACAAAGTTTGTTATGAGCTACTAACTATCCTTGTGAACCGAACTGTGTGAGTGTTGTTACTCCAATTGTTTATTATGGATGCTCATCTCTTATCACTCCCCTGCAAACTAAAGATTGAGAGGATTGAATCATTAGTTTGGATATGAGTAGTTGAAATCTTTGAGTAGAAAAGGGTTTTGTAAGAATGTCAACAATTTGGTCTGTTTTTTTTTTTTTTTTTGAATATGTTGTGTTGTGTTGATGGGAACGACGGTGATCTCTCCTGACTGAATGTGATCCTGTATGAAGTGTCAGTCGACGTCAATGTGCTTTCTACGGGCATAGAACACCGGATTGTGGGCAAGGGCAATGGCCGATATGTTCTCACATTTGATGAGGGTCGGTTTACTTGGGGTGATCTAGATATCTGAGAGAATGCGTCTGAGCCAAATGACTTCTGCTACCGCTGCTGCGAGTGATTTGTATTTGGATTCAATCGATGAATGACCAACAGTTTGTTGCTTCTTTACTGTCCAGGAAATGAGGGTGTCATCAAGGTATGCACAGTGGCCTAATGTAGATCGGCGGGTGGCGGGATCAATGGCCCAATCAACGTCTGCGAAGGCGATAAGTTGAAGGTTGGATTTTGAGAGGGGGAAGACCAAAATCTTTTGTGCCTTGGAAGTATCTGAGGAGGTGTTTGAGAATATGGAAGTGTTGGGAAAGAGGTGAATGCAGGTTTTGACTGAGTGTGTTTACTGCAAAATCAATATTGGGGCGGGTGATGGTAATATACTGTAACGAGCCAGTTAGCTGGAGGTAGACAATTGGGTTGGAGGCAAGAATATCAGTGGTTATATTGGCGGGGGGTTTACAATTGGGTTGGAGGAAAGAATATCAGTGGTTATATTGGCGGGGGGTTTGGTGTATGAAGGATTTGAGATGGAATTGCAGTTGGTGAGGCTGACTTGGTGAAGAATGATGTTGATGTAGGAGGTTTGGGAGAGATGGAGATAGCTAGCATTATGTGTGATGTGTATGCCGAGAAAGGTTTGAGGAAAGCCAAGATGTTTTATGGAGAAGTGGTTGTTAAGGGAGGAGATGAGGTGGAGAGATTGTGGATCATTGCTTGTGAGAAGAATATCATCAACATAAATTAAGAGGTATGCTTGGAGATTATTTTGTTGGAAAATAAAGAGAGAGGGGTCGGATTGATTATGATGGAAGCCGAGGGAGAGAAGATGATTGGAGAATGTTTGGAACCATTAGCGGGGTGCTTGTTTGAGACCGTAGAGGGATTTTTGAAGGAGGTAAATGTGGTGAGGGAATTTAGAATCCTCGAATTCTTGAGGTTGTTTCATGTAAACGGTTTCATTGAGGGATCCATGTAGGAATGCATTGGCAATGTCTAGTTGGTGTATAGGCCATGATTTATTGATGGCAATGGAGAGAAGTGTTCGAATGGTGGGGAATTTGGCGACAGGGCTAACCGTTTCGGTGTAGTTAAGGCTGTATTCTTGGCAATGACCTTGTGCAACAACTCGGACCTTGTTTTTGGCAATGGATCCGTTTGGATGTCTTTTGCTTTTGTATGTCCAACGACACCCAAGGATGAGGGCATTGGGTGCAGGAGGTACAATCCGCTAAGTTCCTTGTTGTTGAAGGGAGAGAAATTCATTGGCCATAGCGGTGCTCCAATGAAAGTGTTGGGAGGCTTCTTTGTATGTTGTTGGATCTGGAGGTTTGGAATTGGTGTGATGGTTAAGGTTGAGAATTTGTTTGGGTTTGAGAGATCTCGTCTTGAAGCGGGTGAGCATAGGATGAGAAGAGGGTATTGTAGTTGGAGAGGGTATAGATGGTGGTGGTAAAGAAGGGACTGTGGAGGATTGCGATGGTGTTGGGATATGATTTGTAGTAGGAGGTGTTGCTGTGGAGTATGTAGTTTCTGTGGAAGTGTTGGAGGCGGGCCTTGAAGGTGGTCGGATGAGAGAGGTTGGTAGGAGGAGATGTGTGTTGTTGTGAGTTTAAGGTGTTGAGGGTGGAGGTTGATTGGGTTGGGTGGTGGCAAAGGGAAAGTGGGATTCGTCAAATGTTACATGACAAGAGATGTAAATGCGATCTGAATTGGGTTCAAGGCATTTGTAGCCTTTGTAGGAGCTGGCATAGCACATGAAGATGGATGGTGGAGACTTGAGGGAGAGTTTGTGGCTAGCGTTTGGTGGTAGTAGAGGGTAGCAAGCACATCCGAAGATGCATAGGTGAGAGTATTGGGGTGGGCGGTTGTGAAGTAATTGGTATGGAGATTTGTTTGCTTTCGTGGAGGGCATTAAGTTGATAAGGTATACTGCCATGAGATGGGTATCTAGTCAGAGGTTAAGAGGGAGACTGGTTGTATGTAATAGGGCACGGGTTGTTTCAAGGATACATCTGTGCTTTCGTTCTGCCAGATTGTTCTGCTCGGGAGTATAGGAAAACTAATCTGGTGATTAATACCATGTAGTTTGATATAAGATTAAAATTTTTGGTTTAAGAATTCAGTGCCACCATTGTTGCGAATATGTTTAATAGTGAGAAATAATTGTTTTTCAATAGCTGAGTGAAATGTGGTAAAGATGGAAAATACATCAGATTTAAGCATGGGAGGAAAAACTCAAAGTAAATCCAATAGCATCATCCACAAACAAAATATATAGTATTTGAATCCTTGATTGGAAGAGATTGAGGAGAGACCCCATACATCCATATGTATAAACTCAAGAGGTTTATAGTTGTGAGATTGGATTTAGAGAAGGGTAATTTATGGCCTTTAGAGACCTTACATATAGAGCAGGAGAGAAGAGAAGTAGGTATAGCTAACTCTTGATTATTTTTGGAGATTGCTGAGATGACTAGCGGATGAGGGTGACCAAGCTACCATCGAAGAGAGGATGGAACTGTGGCAGAGAAGGCTTGAGGGAGGCGATGGTGAGTTGAGAGATGATAGAGTCTGTCTCTACAGTGGTCAGATATAAGTGTGAGCTTGGTTTGCAGATCCTTTATGTGAAAACTAGAGGCGTCATATAGAATAGCAAGATTATTGTCTTTGGTTAGTGAAGAAACAAAGAGGGGATTGTGAGACAAATTAGGGAGATGAAGAAGATTGGAGAGAGATATCTTACGAGTTGATGTGGGTAGGGGACCTTGGCCGGAGTGGGATATGGGAATGGTTTTGCCATCGCCGATCGAGCCGTTGTATTCAGATGGCTGGATGAGGTTGTCGAGATTGTTTGTAAGATGGGAAGAGGCTCCGAAGTCCATAATCCAGTTGGTGGTGGGGTTGTAATTTGAAGCAAGTAAGGCGGTTGAAGGTGTACTGTAGTTGGCATTGAACATATGCCAACAGTTGTTGGCTGTATGTCCCCTTTTACCGCATATCTGATAGGTGATGGTTCTTGCAGGGAGCGAAGATGATGGAGGGGAAGGTTGTGATGATTTGGACGAGGACCAGGAAGCGGGGCGGCCGCAGGATGGAAATCTACCACCGGTGCGAGCTCTTCCTCAACTGGTGTAGAGTGTGGCATGAACGTTGGGTTGTGATTGGTTCTTGGAAAGTTCGATGGATAGGTTAATCTCTAAGCTGGGGAGAAGAGAGTAGAGGTCTTCGAGTCTGACAGGGGTTAATGTCATTTTGATGGTCTTGAATGCCTGATATTGTAGAGGAAGTCAATTGAGGGTGTATAACAGAATGTCTTCACTGTCGATGGAACAACCGGCGGTGGCAATGTCGTTGGCCAACGCCTTAATGTTGGTAAGGTATTGAATCACGGTCTGCTGTCCCATAGAGATTTAATGCTGCTCATTCTTGAGTTGTATCACACGTGATCGATTGGTAGCTTGAAGGCATCATTCAAGTGTGCTCCAAATGTCTGCGCAGGTTATGGGAGGATGCTGGCAATGATGGTGGAGCATAAAGAGGCCGCTAGGATCTAGTCTATCAATGTCCAACGGCGGTGTGCCTCTTTCGGTCTAGATGTGCTTGTAGTGTCGAGAATGAGGCGGGGAGGAACAAGTGTAGATTTGCCTAGGAAGGGCGCGTAACTATTCACTATGAATAGTTTAAGAATTTGGGACCGCCAAGTAGAGTAGTTGTTGTTTGATAGCTGAACGGAAACAATCATCTTAATGTTGTCAATGAGAAATTTAAGGGAGGATGGGATGACGATGTCTTCCTGGGTGAGCTCATTGGAGGTGTCGTCGGTGTGTGAGGAAGAGGTGGTAGCCAACCTGGTAACTATTGGGCTGCGAGCCAAAGAGGCTATGATACCATGTAGAAAAGGTGTAGAAATGCATGCCTAAGCTAATGCAAACAGAGAGAATATACATAGTAGAAGGGAGTAGCTTTCCATTTCAGTGAAATAGCACTTGAATAAACGTTTACTGTAACAGTTGCTTATATATATAGAGGTAAGTGTAGGATACGTGTAAGATTAGGATTAACAAAGTTTGTTATGCGCTACTAGCTGTCCTTGTGAACCGTACTGTGTGAGTGTTGTTACTCCTTTTGTTTGTTATGGGTGCTCATCTGTTATTACTTGCCTGCCATGTAGTGGAAGTCGCAACTTCAATTTTTTTTTATTTTTATGTTGGGCTAGCTG